CTTAGGTTTTAGGACAATAAGGTTTGTGGATTTTTTTTCTATTTATTAATTTATGGACTTTTACATAGTATGTTAGTCCCATCATAACCTAATCGTAAACTAAATAACCAAAAAATTAAAAATAACTAAACAAAAAGAACGAGTAGCTGTCACTGGAGAATCACGGAAACCATGTCGCAAATAAGTTTAGCAGCATCTGATGAAGGGTTGGCTAAAATGCTTTGAAATACTCCTACATCGAACGTTTTAAGATTTAGTTGACTCACCAATGACAGCCGCTCTCTTTGGTTCTTGACACATGTATGTGGATTATTAAGAACCACATTATAGTAGCACAAACACAATAAAGGATGATGGGCACTTTTCTATGGAATCTGGGCGTAAAACCAACAGAAACGTAATGACTACTATTTGTTAGGACTTAGTATCAGAAATATATTTTCATATAAATAACTACCAAAAACTCCCGGGTTTGCTTGGAAATTGACATTATGTATGATAGTCATAGGTGTTTTATTAAGCAAAGAAAAAAAATTATTAATTAATATACCTACATTGATATATTAAGTTATTTATCAATTATTATGTCCAACAGTTAAGGAGTGGGCCCAACAAATGGTATAAAATAAGTACCATGTTCTACATTACGTGCGTAGGACCACACCTACTCGTAGGTACCATTTAGATAAATAAAATGAACACAGTCATGTTTCAATGGGATTTCTACCAGTTAAGCTGTAGTATTGTCGCATAAAATCGATCACGGATCGATTATTAATCGATATTGCCAAATAACTATTTATCGATTAACAATTCGATTAATCGATTTTATTGATTACCATCATCACTATCATTTGATTGTTAGTTTGATTCCATATTTTCAGCATTATACTCGATTATTGCAGTCGAATAATCGATTGTGATTTATTCGGTATACTTACATACTTAATCGATATAATCGATAGTAAGATATGATACAATACTATCAATATGATCGATACAAGCAACTAATTGACCTAATACTATTTTTATTACCCTAGTGTGAAGTGAAATACTACGAAAACTTTGCATATTCAATGACCTCTATCTCCGTATCCCCGCGTATTTCAGGATTGTTGTCATACTATGAAATAAAGTACTAGTATTAAGCTTTAATTTAGTATAATTTTTGTTTCTGTTGGTTTAACGCCCAATATGCCCATCATCCTTTTATTAGTAACTCTATCCCATCCTATGACATAATGAGATAATCAAATACTAAACCAGGATTAGTAAATTCTAAAATGAACACTATTCCCTTCAGCTATTCGCTAAATAGCTATACAGCCTAACTGACTAGTTCTCTAAAACTAAAACCTATTGTTCAATTTGGGTCCCACTATCTGCTTTCTCAGTTCTAATATACGTAACTAAAACGCGGTAAATCATGGAGATACAAACCCGAGAGCGGCTCGTTATCAAATCAACGGAGGATAAACCCGGCATAATAATATTCGGCCTCCATTTGTAACATAAATTTGCATAAATTTATTCATAACCCATTTTGTTTCGTCCCCTGGAGTTTTTGCGCTGTACCCGGAAACGGAATCACTCTGCTTCTTGATTGTAAAATGGCATGGATTTTTGAAGGGTGGGATTCTTGATAGATCATGGGTTTGGATTCTGGTAGGAACATACAAACTATTAATAGGTTGGATGTTTTGTAGGGACATCTTTTACTCTGTGGAGATCCACAGAGGATCCACAAACCTAATTGAAGAAGACTATGACCTAATGATAAAAAAAAATAGAGCACCGTTGAAAATTGCTCTGTAAACGTTACTTTATTTAGTAAAAATGCAATCCGAGTCGGGAATAGAATCGATATTAATTGAACGTTTCAATTTCACTATTCAGTTAGTTTAAGAAATCGCCAAAAACTAAATATAATTTTATTTGTAGAGCACATAGTTTTGCTTAACACTATTTTGTTCAAATCGTATTTTTTTCATGCATGGATTTTGCAGTTTTTTTTTTATATACAGCCCTAATACAACCTGCAAGCCTTAAGAGAAAAGTCCCTTTTACGCCCATATTTACAAACAATGCTTGCTTAAGTGAAGCTGCAAATCGAACGTACAGCGTTGAATAGAGCTCTGTGATTGGTTCATATGTCACCCTGTGCGTCCACGCGCACTGTGAGACCTCATAGTAATGTTTGTGAATACGGGCGATTAGCTTGACACTTTGGCTCTTATAATACATACCTATAGCTACAGAATTCACACTGCTCACAGAAATTATTCCGGGCAGAGTAAATGGCAGAGTTCTCCCTGAAAATTAAGCCTTACTTAATACGTTCGCTCGATGCGTCAACAGATCCGTAAAATTGATCACCACAATATCCAGAACCGTGTTCCTATGTCCCGTAGATGGAGGTCACCGATATGATGAAGATATATGGCGTAGGTTATGGCGGGTAAACGTGTCTGCTAATATAATGTGGGTAACTGGGTAGGCACGCTAAGAGTCGAGTTATTGATGGGGCAATTTAAATTCTGTTATGATTGTGGGTGTTTGGGAAGTTATTGATTAGTTTAAAGTTTCTGTACTGCGTCATGGAGGTTAAGATTTTCGAATTAATTTAAGCTTGTCGTTTTGGATTAGTTGCTACAACCATGGTTAAACGAGAGTTGCTACAAACTGGTAGACTGACGTTCGTAAGAGAACTTTAAAGGCTGATTTACACTTTGATTAGTGTGAGTGCAGGTGAGTACTGCGAGTGATGGTGTGAAAGTGTGAGTAGTGTCCAATTCAATGCGAGCGCAAGTGATTGAGTCTAAATGTGTTTAGTGGCAGGCACGCTGAAAGTAAGGGGGAAGGGAGGGCGCGCGGGACGAGCTACTCCCAAAAAAATAGAACACGCTTCTATTCACTTTACTACACAGCCAACTAATCACTTGCACTAATTAGTTGCTGTCCACACCTAGTCACTAATCACCTGCAATACTCACCTGCACTCACACTACTCAAAGTGTAAATCAGCCTTCATTTTAAGCTCTAGCTAGATGCTCACTTACTTCCCTGTGGCAACAAAATTCACATCATTTTCTGTTAAAAAAATAGTAGCTTTGAAAATAAATTTACATCAACAAACTCGGTCGGATTAGGAAGTCCAGAGTATTTGAACCTGAAACCACACGCTTTTCCAAGTGCACCACGGAATTTTCCCTTGATTGGAAGGCTACCTAATCCCAGTTTCCACCAAAGCGGAGAAAAGAGATGTGTTAGAATAACCAATTGTGATTTCCATACCACCTCTCCGCTCTGTTCGGCAATCTGAATAGTCGAACATCTTGTATGTTCTCCGCTTTGGTGGAAACTGGGCTTTAATCTCCCAATAAATATTTTCCGGTTTTTCGTTTGTCTGTCGATGTTCCGATGTAGACGCCTGCCACTCCGCAGCGGACCCACTCGATAACGCACGACGGTCGATTGGGCGAGAAAATTGGAACTTCCACCAGAGCAAATACAAATGAGTAGGTCATCTTCATAGAAACGCACCGAGCGCGGTTTGTATGTGAGCGCGCCAATATACGTATGCGGCGAGCACGCACACACTGAAAAAATTCGGCGCACCTCACCGCTATTTTTTTTCAGTGTGTGCGTACGCGCCGCATACGTGTTGGCGCGCTCACATACAAACCGCGCCCGTGTGTTCCTATGAAGATGACCTACTCATTTGTATTTACTCTGCTTCCACACTACATCAATAACTGTGGGGGAACTGCTCTAGTGTGGACAATCTACATACACATAGGCACAGTCAGCGTCAAAGGAACTACGATTCGTTAAAGTGTAGGTTTTAGGAATTAACATTATGGAGACAATATGAGTAGGTACTTACTTGTACGGAACCCTCGGTGCGTGAGTTCGACTCGCACTTGACCAGTCGGTGGGACTTCAGTCGGTACATAAAATATATTTNGGCCGTATCGAGCGCATAAGGCGCCCGATCAGTGGCGAACCCAACTAGAGGGTTGCCCACCGCGGTGTTGGACCATAGTCCAGCCTACGGCGGGCTCAGTCTAGTGGGCCCGATCGAGGGGACTACGGACGCGGCCTGAGGGCGCCACGGTAGGCTCGGACCTCGGCTCAGGCCGTGTCCGGGGGACGGATAGGGGAGAACCGGCCCGGTACATGTCTGTACCGTCCGAAATGGAAAGCACGATTTTCCAAATAGCAGAGAAACACCCTTATACAAGGCAGGGTAAAAAACTCCGACACCGCGATGCAGGATTGTAGGCGCGGCGGTGTGTGCCATAGTTATTTGTGTCCCAACGCCATCTGTTGGTTGAAGACTGCCACTAGTTTGCAGTGAGGCGTCAATAGATGTCGCCACATTACCATACCTATAGTCTGGTCCGTGAGCACGTAGAATTTTGTCCAATGACCCCAAGCTACCCATCCTTATCGCTCGCGCGTAATTATGTTGCTATCGCGCTCGCACACTCACTGCGGGTGCCAGTCGCACAGTCGTGACAGCAATATAATTACGCGCGAGCGATAAGGATGGGTAGCTAGGGGTCATTGGACAAAATTCTACGTGCTCACAGACCAGACTATAACCAGGGTAGAAAACTCTGACACCGCGATGCAGGATTGTAGGCGCGGTAGTATGCGCCATAGTAATTAGTGTCCCAGCGCCATCTGTTGGTTGAAGACTGCCACTAGTTTGCAGTGAGGCGTCAATAGATGTCGCCACATTACCATACCTATAGTCTGGTCCGTGAGCACGTAGAATTTTGTCCAATGACCCCAAGCTACCCATCCTTATCGCTCGCGCGTAATTAAGTTGCTATCGCGCTCGCACACTCACTGCGGGTGCCAGTCGCACGTCGCGACAGCAATATAATTACGCGCGAGCGATAAGGATGGGTAGCTAGGGGTCATTGGACAAAATTCTACGTGCTCACGGACCGGGCTTTACTTGAATAATGATGATGATGGTAATCCTGCAGGAGCATAGACCGCCACATGGCCAGCTACCATCCGGCGCTGGACGCCAGGGTCAAGTGCGAGCTGTGCGACAGCAGGGTCACGCGGGAGAAGATGGACAGGCATCTGAGGCTGATGCACGGGCCTGGGAACCTTACTTGTGGGGTGAGTGTGATTTCGGCGCGAAGAATTCTTTCGAACTAAGGTGACGCAGTGGGGTGTGTCTCACAGCACATCAACTCATATTTTTCTCGAAATTATACACTGTTTCTAGCTAAAAAAAATATTTGCGTAAGTCGGCCGATAGTTGGGCCCTATTCTAATTTATATGTAGTGTCCGACCGAAACTAGTTTTACGACCGAAACCGAAACCGAAAACGAATTTCGGCAACGGTGTCTATTTCGGCCGAAACCGAAACCGAAACCGAAACTTCCTTACAAGGCTCATATTTTGAGGGAAAAATAAAGAAAACGTTATTATAATCAGTCAGTCTTTATTGTTTTCTCTTTAAATTGCATTAAAATTGAACTTATAAAGTGCCTTTTTACTCTAAAAGGTATCAAATTATGTATTAAAAAAGTAAAAGAAGGATTTATAGTCTAGATTTTTTTTAAATTACTCGCAATATTCAAGACATCTACATAACCCGGCCCATGGTCGGGTCTTACCGTAATAATTTCTCAAAACAAAATTGGTAGTACGTAAGTTAGTAGGTATCTAATGTACTTGCCACTTTGATACCTTGGTGATAAATTCTAAAATGAACTTTGAAACTCTGAATCCATATAATATTATCACCATGAAATGCACTATAGTCATTACTAACTACTTAACTAATGTTTGTTTACGTATAGCATTTGCGAACCAAAAAAAAAATTTATAGGTTAGATTAAACTTGATTATACTTTTATCAGTCATATTGAATTTTTTTTTTTGATGTTTACACCTGCTCTTATGTTATAACGACATAAAACGAGATAAAACTTACCAAATTTAAAATAAAAGTCGCCACCACAACAAAACAAAACTAACAGCAAACAAACAAGCGAGCGAATCACGACATTGGCTCTGATCGGATTCACACATTCAACGCGCCGAACATGACCGATAACAGCGCGGAAACTCCCGAATGCACATTCGGTTTCGGTCGTAGTTTCGGCAAGTTTGCCGCCGAAAACGAAACTAAACCGAAACTCGTGTTTTTACCGAAACTCAACCGAAAACGAAACCGAAACCGAACATTCGGTCGGACACTATTTATATGAAGAATCAATCGGTGTAATATGCGCACTTCTACTACTGCAACTAAACTATCGGCCGACGAAAAATCGGTGTTCTGCGCCTATGCTAAAACTTGCCAGGACTCCCCCTCTACGCCACGTAAGGTTTTGTGAGAATCGGCTTGACTGTGCGGCTTTGACATTATACATTTTGGTTTTAAGTTTGATTTGACGACAGATTGATTTTAATTCTTCCCAAAATGGAGCAATAATTTTGCTTACGATAGCTTTTCTATACCTTATAACTATGGTTAGTATTAAGCCTTTTGAAGGCAAGAAGAGTGAATAGGCACTTACAGGGCAGATATGTACCATCCTAGACTGCATCTCACTTATAACAGGTGCGATTGCGGTCTAATACCTGACTTGTTCTGCATAAACAAAAGTATCTTGACTATCTGATGATTTACAATCCACATTATGTTGGTTCCAGTACTGCAAAACGGAGTTTCAAGATAGGGAGAGCCTGGTAGAACATATCACCACATGCACCGCCAAGAAAAAGAGGAAGCCATACAAAAAAGTAAGTTCCGAATTAAATATTTCGTTTTGTGGCAATTGGGGGAGGTAATTGTAAAACTATGGTTTTGCGAGTTGTAAGAGTGCAGGAGACATCGTACCAAAAGTTTATCGTAAAGGAATATGATGGACGAAGAAGGACTTCTAACGGGAGGTTCGAAAGGAAATTAAGAGGGGTGGGGGCACAAAACTAGGGGGTTTTGCGTGTTGGAAGAGTGCAGGAGCCATTGTACCAGACGTTGCAAGGAGGGGCTAATTAGAGGGGTTTGGGGGGGGTAAGGGTGGTAGAAGGACTTCAAATGAGAGGTTGGAAAGGCAGTTAGTGAGGGGAATGGGGGGCTGGGGATTGGAGGGTAAGAGTGCATAACTAGAGGGTTTCTTTTTAAATTAATTGCAGTGTGGTATCAGTAAAGTACAATAGCGTCTTCCCGTGGATGGCGTACGAGGCGACTAACGAACAAACGAACGTCAGGCCTCCCCAACCCGTCTGGCCAGCGTGGGGAGTTTATGCCAAATCCTCCATTTGTCTCTGTTCAATTAATGTCGGCCGATGGGACAGCAAGGTTTTGGAGTGGAAGCCACGTACGGGAAAGCGCACGCCACAAGGTGGACCGACAACCTTATAAAGGTAGCAGAAAGAAACCAACAGGTCATTATGGAAATCATTGGGAGAGGCCTATGTTCAGCAGTGGACGTCCTGTGGCTGAAATGATGACGATAATGATGATGATGAACTTAGATAGGATCGTGCTCCTGTGGGTGTGGATGAGTGGATTATTTAAATGGCCTGATGAAAATCACTATATTTTCTACTTTCCGCCCACGGCTTCGCCCGCGTGGAATTTTGTCTGTCACAGAAAAACTTTATCGCGCGCGTCCCTGTTTCAAAAACCGGGATAAAAACTATCCTATGTTCTTTCCCGGGACTCAAACTATCTCTATGCCTTTCATCAAAATCGGTTGCGAGGTTTAAGCGGGAAAGCGTAACAGACAGACAGACAGACAGACAGAGTTACTTTCGCATTTTTATTAATATACNGGAGTTTAGGCCAAATCCTCCATTTGCCTCTGTTCAATTAACGTCGGCTGATGGGACAGCAAGGTTTTGGAGTCATCACAGGTCTTCGACCTTCTTGGCTGGTTCGGGCGTCGAGCTTGTGCTCATGGCCCGTGCTGCATCTCGACTGGCTACTGCCAGTCGGTGGTTTTGTCGTCGCTTTGGCGACGGACTGCCTGGGCTTCTACCTGACACCACTGTCCCGCCCTCGGCGCGGTACCAGCCCACCGGGTGAGTCGACGTTGGTCGAGGCCCAGTGAACGACCAGCGAGCGGGCGGTTCCTGGATGCCAGGGAGCTTTCAGGCAGTCATATGTTTGCAGTATGTTTTGCTGCTGTGTTCTCTTGATGCGGGCGTTGGGCCGTCACTATTCTGAAGCGTGGCTTCGGTGCTGTGACGGCTGGTGCGGAGACGGGTCTCGCAGGCGCAGCACGCTGGGAGGTGTCGGCGTCCTCTGCTTCTGGCAGCAGGAGGTCCCGGGGGCGGGGGCGGTTGCCCGGGGGGCGGGCTGGTGTAGGCGCGATGTTGTGGAGATGGCAGTGGGGGCCGTTGTCCGCGCGGTCGTACATGACCCGCGCCAGGCGCGTGATGAACTCCTCCACTGTCTCCACGTTGATGTCCCGGGCAATGACGTCATTGCGGACGTATCGCCCCGCCCAGGTTTTGGAGTGGCCACGTACGGGAAAGCGCACGCCACAAGGTGGACCGACGACCTTACAAAGGTAGCAGAATGGCGCTGGATGCAGGCCGCTACCAACAGGTCATTATGGAAATCATTGGGGGAGGCCTATGTTCAGCAGTGGACGTCCTGTGGCTGAAATGATGACGATAATGATGATGATGAACTTAGATAGGATCGTGTTCCTGTGGATGTGGATGAGTGGATTATTTAAATGGCCTGATGAAAATCAGTATATTTTCTATTTTGTCTAGGGTCGCGAGCTAGCAGAATGCGACTTGTGCCAGAAAGTGATGCAGCGAGCGAGTCTGCGACTCCACAAGGCTGTCAAACACAAAGGACTGAGGCCTGTGTGTGAGGTGAGTGGAAATAACAAACACTATAATTCGGGCCTTTTCGTAATTTACGTAATTAAGAGGGGGGGTGGACGACGGAGGGGAGGGGTTGCAAAACTTGTGCGTCTTGGAAAAGTACACAAATTTCAGGGCGCCTAGAATTTTGTTTGGGCTGGTTGGAGAGGGGGTTGATAAGTTAGGGGTGGTAGAATGACTCAAAAAAGAAGAAACGGGGGGGAGAGGATGCAAAGTTAGAAGAGTGCATGAGACATCGTCCCATAAGTTTCAGGGGGAGGGCTAGAATATTGTGTTTGGAACGGGTATACTGGTATGGAAAGGGGTTTGAGAAGGTAGGGGTGTTAGAACGACTTCAAACGAGGGGTCAGACAGGAAGTAAAAAAAGGGGGCTGGTGATTGAAGGATGGGCCGCTTCATATCAGAAGTTTCAGGGAAGGAACACTTATTTGCTTTGAAAATTATAAATAACTTGAAAAATCGAACTGCCTAAGGCGGGAATTGAACCCACGACCTTCCGCTTGCCGGGCGACTGCTCTTCCAACTGAGCTACTTAGACACTGGATGAGCAGTCCGATTTTTTCAAGTTATTTATAATTTTCAAATTAGTTTGAGATGCGACTCTTAACGCTAAAAAATTAAATAACTTTTTTGCTTTGGTCATATTGATTTACTCAAGTATATTTATAATTCAGTCTGCACATATTTGATGTACTTAAATTTGACTATTCTTACCGTTAGTAATTCCTGGCAATAAGTGGTGACTGAGTTTGTTCCGTTCCGGCGTTTCTTCTCAGCACTTGCCATATGTTTGTTTCGAAGCGCTGGTAGGGCCCAAAAGATAAGGAGACATGTAAAGTGCTACCTTTTCTATTTTTCTTATTTTCTATTGACGTTCATAAGTGCCACTTGTGGTCTAAACTGAATATTTATTCAATTTTTGATTTTGATTTTGGTTTTTTAAATCCAGCACTGCGGCCGCTCGTTCGGCAACTCCATCCGTCTCCACGAGCACTACCGAGCGAAGCACGGCTACGAGAAGTTCAAGTGCGGCCGCTGCGACTACCAGTCGGCCAGCGAGTTGGCTATGCAGGTACGTCATCATCAGGGCCCCAATTGTGCTAAAAAATTTTATTTATTTATTTAGGAAAACCAGGGTTTTACAGTGTGTAATAATGACATAAGATAGGCAACAAGACGGATTAGCAAGCTGAAGTGGCAATGGGCAGGGCACATAGTGCGCAGAACTGACGGCCGATGGGACAGCAAGGTTCTGGAGTGGAGACCGCGTACCGGAAAACGCATCGTATGACGTCCACCCACAAGGTGTACCGACGACATCGTAAAGGTAGCAGGGAAGTGCTGGACGCAGGCCGCTACCAATCGATCAACGTGGAAAGCATTAGGGGAGGCCTATGTTCAGCAGTGGACGTCCTATGGCTGACATGATGATGATGATGAAGCAACAAGCAAACCACTTAGGCCCAGAACAGACGGTGAAACGCAACTGCAATGAAACTGCAATTGCTACTTACTTTTGAGTTGCATCTAAGTTTCTGCCATAGCGTCCGTTGAAAGACCACACATGACGCGACCAGTTTGAAACTTTTAGTTTCAGTTTCATTCATAAGAATCATCAGAGTGTTGCAGTTTCGTTGCAGTTGCATTTCACCGTCTTTTCTGGGCCTTATAGGTTCCAACTGCAACGCGATTGGACAACGAATCAAAATCAGCTTTTTGACAAATCCGTATCGCGGTATCGTTTTGACGGCTAGTAAAAAACGAAACTGAAATGAAGAACGAAGCTGACAGAAAACTATTTCTTCTCAAACGCAAATCAAGCGCATCACGAACATTTACTATGTTTTAGTAATTTTAGTTTCAGAAATAAGGTGTTCGGACTTTAAATAAAAAGTGCTTAATCTGTTGTTTCGTCGTGTGAAATTTACCGCGATACTGAATTGTAATTCAGCTGGAATGAAAATGGAGCACGAGTCGAGCGCGACTTGAGTTGAAACGCAATTGAATGAGGGTTTTCGCGATTGAAAAATCCGCCAGATGGCAATACGTAAACGCGAGGTCCAAATGCTGCATGATTGGTGGATTTTGACATATCTGTCAATGTCATGTCAAAAATAACCAATCATGCAGCATTCAATCTGGCGGATTTTTCAATCGCGAAAACCCTCATTGGAGACATTACAAATTAGAAGTCGTATATTTTTATTTTATTTTCTTTATAAACAGAACCACGAAAGACGGCATCGCGGCGAGAAACCCTTCGTATGTGAGGAGTGCGGCGCGCGTTTCCACGCCGCGTACTTGCTTGCCCAACACAAACGCGGGCACACCACTGAGAAACCTGTTAAGGTAACTATGTAATATGAAAACTAACCCAGGTGCCTGAATGTCCCCCTTAGGCCAAAATGCCCACCACTTAACCCTTACTTAGTTTAGAATGCCCCTTCAATTCAAGGCAAAAATGTCCCCTGAGCCAGAATGTCCCCCTTAGACTAAAATGCCTCCCCCTGTGGCCAAAATGCCCCTTACTTAGTTCTAAATGCCCCTTCAAGGCCAAGAAACCTGTTAAGGTAACTATGTAATATGAAAACTAACTCAGGTGCCTGAATGTCCCCCTTAGGCCAAAATGCCCACCACTTAACCCTTACTTAGTTTAGAATGCCCCTTCAATTCAAGGCAAAAATGTCCCCTGAGCCAGAATGTCCCCCTTAGACTAAAATGCCTCCCCCTGTGGCCAAAATGCCCCTTACTTAGTTCTAAATGCCCCTTCAAGGCCAAGCGGCTTCGCCCGCGTGGAATTTTGTCTGTCACAGAAAAACTTTATCGCGCGCGTCCCTGTTTCAAAAACCGGGATAAAAACTATCCTATGTTCTTTCCCGGGACTCAAACTATCTCTATGCCAAATTTCATCAAAATCGTTTGCGAGGTTTAAGCGGGAAAGCGTAACAGACAGACAGACAGACAGACAGACAGACAGACAGACAGAGTTACTTTCGCATTTATAATATTAGTTGGGATTCGTATTTATATATATTCGCATAATATTAGTTGGGATTTTGTCTAGGGTCGCGAGCTAGCTGAGTGTGATTTGTGCCAGAAAGTGATGCAGCGAGCGAGTCTGCGACTCCACAAGGCGGTCAAACACAAAGGACTGAGGCCTGTGTGTGAGGTGAGTGGAAATAAGACACACACTATAATCCGGGCCTTTTCGTAATTTACGTAATTAAGAGGGGGGGTGGACGACGGAGGGGAGGGGTTGCAAAACTTGTGCGTCTTGGAAAAGTACACAAATTTCAGGGGGCCTAGAATTTTGTTTGGGGCTGGTTGGAGAGGGGGTTGATAAGTTAAGAATGGTAGAACGACTTTCGAAAAAGGCGAAAAGGGGGGGGGGTATGCAAAGTTAGAAGAGTGTGAAGGCTGAAGGTACTTCAAACGAAAGGTTGGAAAAGAAGTGTGAAGGGGGGCTGGCGATTGAAAAATGGAGGTGACTTCGTATCAGAAGTTTCAGAGGATGACACACACTTAGGGTTGCCAGGTCCAAAATCACAAAAGCCGGACTTTGTGCTTCATTTGGCCGGACATTTTACCCTAAAAGCCGGACATGTGACGGTGCAATTAGTGTCAGCTCATGAGTGAGTACTATCATCATCTGTTGCTGTCCAACATCCTGATGCGTGCGCTTCATATGATTCTGTGGCTCGACTTTCTCCTGGCGCGGCAACCAAATAAAAAGCCTAACAAAAGCCGGACAGGCCGGACAAGTCCCTAAAAGCCAAACATGTCCGGCTAAAGCCGGACGCCTGGCAACCCTACACACAATTTTCTTTGTTCATATTGATTTACTCAAGCATATTTATAATTCCAGCACTGCGGCCGCTCCTTCGGTAACTCCATCCGTCTCCACGAGCACTACCGAGCGAAGCACGGCTACGAGAAATTCAAGTGCGGCCGCTGCGACTACCAGTCGGCCAGTGAGCTGGCTATGCAGGTGCGTCATCATCATCATTACAGAATCATTAAAAAAGCCTGATAGCAAGGTTCTGGAGTGGAGACCGCGTACCGGAAAACGCAGCGTGGGACGTCCACCCACAAGGTGGACCGACGACATCGTAAAGGTAGCAGGGAAGCGCTGGACGCAGGCCGCTACCAATCGATCAACGTGGAAAGCATTAGGGGAGGCCTGTGTTCAGCAGTGGACGTTCTATGGCTGACATGATGATAATGATGAGGCAACAAGCAAACCACTTAGGCCCAGAACAGACGGTGAAACGCAACTGCAACGAAACTGCAATTGCTACTTACTTTTGAGTTGCATCTAAGTTTCTGCCATAGCGTCCGTTGAGAGACCACACATGACGCAACCAGTTTGAAACTTTTAGTTTCAGTTTCATTCATAAGAATCATCAGAGAGTTGCAGTTTCGTTTCACCGTCTGTTCTGGGCCTTATAGGTTTCAACTGCAACGCGATTGGACAACGAATCAAAATCAGCTTTTTGACAAATCCGTATCGCGGTATCGTTTTGACAGCTAGTTCAAACGAAACTGAAATGAAGAACGAAGCTGACAGAAAACTATTTCTTCTCAAACGCAAATCAAGCGCATCACGAACATTTACTATGTTTTAGTAATATTAGTTTCAGAAATAAGGTGTTCGGACTTTTAATAGAAAGTGATTAACCTGTTGTTTCGTCGTGTGAAATTTACCGCGATACTGAATTGTAATTCAGCTGGAATGAAAATGGAGCACGAGTCGAGCGCGACTTGAGTTGAAACGCAATTGAATGAGCAATACGTAAACGCGAGGTCCAAATGCTGCATGATTGGTGGATTTTGACATATCTGTCAATGTCATGTCAAAAATAACCAATCATGCAGCATTTGGACCTCGCGTCTACGTATTGCCATCTGGCGGATTTTTCAATCGCGAAAACCCTCATTGGAGACATTACAAATTAGAAGTCGTATATTTTTATTTTATTTTCTTTATAAACAGAACCACGAAAGACGGCATCGCGGCGAGAAACCCTTCGTGTGTGAGGAATGCGGCGCGCGTTTCCACGCCGCGTACTTGCTGGCGCAACACAAACGCGGGCACACCACTGAGAAACCTGTCAAGGTAACTATCTTATACGTAATCTAAAATTAAACAAGGCAGACAGAAGACCTTGACAGACAGTGGAGAGCTGCTGGCTTCCCCGAGTCAGAATGCTTCCCTTTCCCCCACTTAGACCAGTATGCCCTCCAAACTCAGGCCGGAGCGACCCTGGGCTATAATGCCTCCCCCACTTAGGCTAGAATTCCCCTTCTATCTTGGCCAGAATCCCCCTTCTCTTTTGTCCAGAATCCCCCTCCACTATAGTCCAGAATCTTCCTCCCCTCTAGTCCAAAATCCCCCTCCCCTATAGTCCAGAATCCCCCTCCCCTTTAGTCCAGAGTCCATCGCCCCTCTAGTCCAGAATCCCTCTCCACTCTTGTCCAGAATCCCCTTCCCCTCTATTCCAGAATCCCCCTCTCTTCTAGTCCAGAACCCCTTCCTTTTGGTCCAGAATCCCCCTTCCCTTCGGTCTAGAATCCCCTCTCCCATTTGATCAAAAATCCCCCTCTCCTCTAGTCCAGAATCCCCCTCCCCTTTAGTCCAGAGTCCATCGCCCCTCTAGTCCAGAATCCCTCTCCACTCTTGTCCAGAATCCCTCTTCACTCTTGTCCAGAATCCCCTTCCCCATCTATTCCAGAATCCCCCTCTCTTCTAGTCCAGAACCCCTTCCTTTTGGTCCAGAATCCCCCTCCCCTTTGGTCCAGAATCCTCCTCCCCTCTAGTCTATAATCCCCCTCCCTTCTAGTCCAGCATCTCCCTCCCCTCTAGTCCATAATCCTCCTCCACTCTAGTCCAGAAAGCCCCCCCTCGGCCAGAATATCCCCCAGTTAGCCCATGAGTGGTCATTGCAGCGAGAAACCATTCGTATGCGGCGCGCCTTAAGCCAGGGCCGGTCTTGCGCTGCCCGTATTCAAGTATTTCCCGCGACCTCCACCAGATTGTCGGTCCATCTAGTGAGGGGCTTGCCCACACTACGTATTCCGGTCCCACTGACATCCTGTGTGCTTACAAAAAACATATTTTTATTGTAATATATTTAACTAGCCACCCGCGACTTTGTACGCGTGGATCCTGTTTTAAGGGTGGAGTTTCGTAAAATCCTTTCTAAGCGGATGCCTACGTTATAACATCTACCTGCATGCCAAATTTCAGCCCGATCCGTCCAGTGGTTTGGGCTGTGCGTTGATAGATCACTATGTCAGTCAGTCAGTCACCTTTGAGTTTTAGATGACGATAAATTTCTCAATTCCAGTGCGACCAGTGCCCCTCCAGCTTCAAATCCAACAACAGTCTGTTAACCCACAAGCAGACCTGCCACAGCGACCGAAGCTACGTGTGCCTGGTGTGCGCGCGCGCCTACCGCTGCCGGCACTACGCCGTCAAGCACAGCCGCGCCGTGCACCGGCTGAGGGGGCCGCCGCCGATTGCTAGGGGGGACTTAGGGAGTTTAGCGGGGACCCTAGAGACTGCTACATAAGACACTAACCAAAGCCCCCTCAAATACACTGATATTGGTCATTTAGTCCCCCTCCCCCGCCCCCAAACCCCAAAAGAAACTTAAGTGTCTTTAACCCCCCACCTCCCTTCAAATAAACCCCCTCCAAAACACCAAAATTAGTCTTTTCTTCCCCTCNTCTTTTTTTTATTATTTTCTATTGACGTTCATAAGTGCCACTTGTGGTCTAAACTGAATAAATATTTTTGATTTTGATTTTTGATTTTTTTTAAAACCCCCCTCAAAAACACTCCAAATTAGTCTTCCAGCCCCCCCTCCTCTTAAAAAAATCCAAAACGAGTCCATAAACCTTTTCTAATACCCCCCAAACCTACTCAAATTGGTCCATAACGACCTACTCAAGTCACAGACCTGCCACAGCGACCGAAGCTACGTGTGCCTGGTGTGCGCGCGCGCCTACCGCTGCCGGCACTACGCCGTCAAGCACAGCCGCGCCGTGCACCGGCTGAGGGGCCCGCCGCCCATTGCTAAGGGGGACCTAGGCAGCGTAGGGGGGAGCCTAGAGACTGCTACATAAGACACTAACCAAAGCCCCCCCATGCCCTTGAAAAATATCCAAAATTTATTTATTTATTGAACCATAAATACACTCAAAATCATTTGATGGGGGGCCTTTTAAATAAACTCAAAATGATCTTTTAGTACCCTTTCCCCCCCAACCTCAAAAGAAACTGAAGTGTCTTTAACCCCCCTTGAAAGAAACCTTAGTGTCTATAATCCCCTTCAAAACACTCGGATTGGTCTTTTAGCCCCCCTCTGACCCGGAAAGAAACTTAAGTGTCTTTAACCCCTCATGAAAGAAACCTTAGTGTCTAAAACCCCCCTTAAAACACTCCAAATTAGTCTTCCAGCCCCCCCTCCTCTTCAAAAAGTCCAAAATGAGTCCATAAGCCCTTTATAATACCCCCCAAACCTACTCAAACTGGTCCATAGCCCCTAACGATCCAAACTCAAGTCACAGCTCGCCACAGCGACCGAAGCTACGTGTGCCTGGTGTGCGCGCGCGCCTACCGCTGCCGGCACTACGCCGTCAAGCACAGCCGCGCCGTGCACCGGCTGAGGGGCCCGCCGCCGATTGCTAGGGGGGACCTAGGCAGCGTAGGGGGGACCCTAGAGACTGCTACATAAGAAAGAAAGAAAGAAAAAATATATATTTGACAAGTAATTTTAAATAAGACACTATGAAACACACTCAAACTGATGTAAAACACGAATGCTACTTAAAGCCCCCCTTCCCCAGATTGGTCCTCCCCTGGAAAGAACCCTTAGTGTCTAAAAACCCCCCTTCCCCTCTTCTTGAAAAATATAACCCCTAAGATAAATTCAAATTGGTCATTTAGCCCCTCTTTCCCCCCTAACCCCAAAAAACTTAAGTGTCTTAAANTAAGTTAGACGCTTGAAATTTGGCCAGCAGGTACCTTAGTAAACTTAAAGCTTAGTTATAACAGGATATTGCAAAATTCCTACGGGAACGGGAATTAGCGAGAAAAAACATTTTTATGAAAAAATCTAAGCCACGTAAGATAGACGCTTGAAATTTGGCATGCAGGTACCTCAGTAAATTTAAAGCTTAGTTACAACAGGATATTGCAAAATTCCAACGGGAACTGGAGTTAGCGGGAAAAAACATTTGTATGAAAAAATCTAAACCGCGTAAGATAGATGAAGGGGGTAAAACGGGATCCACGCGTACGAAGTCGCGGGCGGCCGCTAGTTTTACAATAAGAAATCACAAATTAAAAAAACGTGAAATACCCAAAAATCAAAGTGATTTTTTCACCAATATTCTTTCTTTATTCAACATAAAAATAGCTTAATATAATAAAACAACATCTTCTTTAAAATATTTACTTTGAAACGATATTTAATTCATTGTTATTGTTTTGCTATAAACATTTGAAAACTATTAAAAAACGCCGCGCTCGAAACATTTCCAATGATGCCCCTTGAAACGCCGCGCTTCGCGTAAACGCTCTTAAGACACTAACCAAAGCCCCCCTCTCTCCTTGAAAAAAAACTAAAATTGAACCATAAATACACTCAAATTGCTTAAATACACACAGATTGGTCATTTAGTCCCCCTCCCCCGCCCCCAAACCCCAAAAGAAACTTAAGTGTCTTTAACCCCCCACCCCCCTTGAAATAAACCCCCCTCCAAAACACTCAAATTGGTCTACTCTAAAAGTTGCTAGGGGGACGTAGGGATTGTAGGGGGGAGCCTAGAGACTGCTGCTTAAGACATTAACCGAAGCCCATTCATGCCTTTGAAAAATATCTATAATTAATCCATAAATCCCCCTCCAAAACACTCAAATTGGTCGTTTAGTCCAAATTCCCCCTCCCATAAACCATTAGAAACTAAAGTGTCTTTAACCCCCCTTGAAAGAAACCTTTGTGTCTATAAGCCCCTCAAATACAGTCTAAAATCAAATGGTCATACGGCCCTCCTCCCCCCTGACTCCAAAATAAACTTACGTGTCTTTAACCACCCTTGAAAGAAACCTTAGTGTCTAATAAAGCCCCTCCAAGGGAGCCCCTCTCAAAACCCCACTTCCCGTCTTGAAAAGATGTACCCGTCCCCCCCCCAAATAAATCAATTCAAGTTGGTGTAGGGGGAGCCTACTGAGCAACATACTCGCCAAAGCTCCCTCTTCTGAAAGAAACTTTTACTGGCTATGTATAAGCCTTAAGCCCCTCCACCCCCTTCATGAAAAAAAAGTGGTCATTTAGCCCCCTTTTACCCCTGACCCCAAAATAAACTAGTGTCTGTCAAAACACTCAAATTAGTCTTCACTCTTTAAGCCTTTGAGAAAATAATAAACTTTTATTAGTCCATCTCTCTTGCCATTTGAAAAATTAAATATTTAATAATTTGTTATTGTCACAAATATAAATATTTCTTTTTGTTGAAAAAAAAATCTTGAATAAAAGTTATTATTTCATATTTTGGCTGTTTTACTTCACTTTATTTATCACTTTATCACTAATTTAATATTAAAGAGGTTTGTGAGCTTGTTTGTAAGAAACATTAGCTTGAGAGAATAGGTTTCTTTTTCATAGTTTTTATAAAATCATGCGGACGAAACCGCGGGTAAATGATAGTTTTTATTCAAAACCTTAGATTAATCTAAGTTCAAAACCTATGGGTACAAAACCCTAAACAGTGGCCATAACCATAACATAAACTTGCTAATTTTTATTATGTGCAAGCAGCTTTATACCTATAGAAACGAGGTCTCATTCCTCTTTACAAACTTCTTTCACATCAAATTCAAGCCATATCGCGGAAAAAGAAAAAGAACAATCCGAAATTTTGAAAATTGAAAACCATGTGATCATCTTTTGTTCTCCCACACCAGACGCGTTCAACCATCCTACCATGGCCCAAATTTTCAAGTAACCAGTTAAAAATCTAGAAAAATTCCAAGTTTCCAACCGGTCAAATAAATAGAAAACCAAACACAAAACCAGCGTAAGCATGGCTCTAGTATTGAGGAAAGCGGTAATGCCAAGAAATGTCTCGCTGCTGAAATGCATAAAAGGGCGACAACTTGCTACTACAGCCCACAAGAAAAACGCCGCACCACTGTGTAAGTATTTTTACAAGCTTTCGTAATATCAATTTAAGTTTTGCGGACTTTTACGTAGTTACGTATTTGAAATTGTTCTCGATTTAGAATTCATGGTACAACACTAGGTATTTGGGTTGAGTAGAGGAGGGTTTCGTGATTGAGTGGTTCCGTAGTGATAATTGTTAAAAGTGTAATGTCTGGTAGCTATAGTTCGTGTGATGTATCTGTAATCTTTGCAGTGGTCTTTGGGTGGTAGAAGGGCGATTGTAATGATGGTGACTGCAAAAGATAATTTGCTTTAGTGGATTAGAATAAAAAAAATCTGAAGGTAAGTGGTAGATTAGTCATTAGATTTGTAAGATTTGAATCTGTTGCTAGATTAACATTATTTCATGTGCGTTTATATTTTTTCCTTGGTTTTTCTGAAAAAAGCGACTATCGTGACACCTGTCAATTTGACATTTGTAAAACTGATCGTTCTCAAACCGGTTTCGCTTTGTTTACCGCGTCTACCGTGCCCTCCCGCCGCTGGCGAGGTTTGTGAGTGTTATTTTGGAGAACGGTGGTCGCCAAGGGACCTCCAGCCTATAATACTCGGCGAGGCGACGCGCATCTGTCGTTCTTCCGAATAGCATCCGCAGCCAGCCAGCGGCTTCCTTGCCGAGTATTATATGATGGGTGTCCTTTGCAGCGGCGGCCTCCTGCGGCTCGTCGGCCTTCGGCCCGGCGCTGACCGGCCGCACAAGTATCCTCTGTTGCGGCGACCAAACTGGCTCAGTGCGCTGTTACGCTGAAAAAAAAGATGACGAGAAAAAGGAAGGAGCGTGTCCGTCTTGCGGCTGCCCCTCCTGCGGGCCCTGCTGCCCCTGCGGCCCGTGTGGGCCCTGCGGACCTTGCGGCCCATGTGGCCCATGTGGACCCTGCGGCCCGTGTAGATGCCCATGTCCCTGCGGCCCTTGCGGACCTTGCGGCCCGTGTGGCCCGTGCGGTCCTTGCGGGCCATGTGGGCCCTGCGGCCCCTGTGGACCGTGCGGCCCATGTGGACCCTGCCGATGCCCATGTCCATGCGGCCCGTGCGGCCCCTGCGGCCCCTGCTGCCCTTGCCCCTGCCCTCCGAAGCCGAAGAGCGCCAAGTGCGAGTGCGCTGCTTGCGCGGGCTGCGCTTGCTGCGCCACGTGTGGGGCCCCGCAGCAACAGATGGCGCAACCGCCGCAGCCTGCTGCGCCTGTGAGGCACGAACAACAAGAACGCAAGAAAGACAAGCTCTCCTCACGCATCACTGGGGTGAAGGTCAACCCATGACAACTTGAAGAAACATCCTTAGAATAATTTGACTTGCCCTTTTGAATTACGCTCACAATTTCAATCATTTCATATACTTTTGTTTTGATTATTTTTATTTCAATAAATATTCTATGTGTTACATTCTGTTTCATTTCGCCAGTCTAATAACTTTAGGAACATATTCAGAATTTTAATCGAG